TTCCTGAGATTACAGTGGCAACAGCCAGATTTTTAACTATGGCTATAAAATAAGGTTTTTAGTAACAAATCAATGAGTTGGACTTTTAAGTGTATCATATAATATTTATTAAATATGTTATCTGTTAAATTGTCTTATTTAATGTCAAGTCTAGATTATATGTGAACTTGTTTTTGGACCTTTTGGCTGTAAATAAATAAAGAAATCAAAGGTTATATGCAAGTATCTCTTCTTCCCATAACCCATCCCTTATCCATATGGAAATCCATAAATCATTAACATTTCAGTCTTGGTATCAGCAAATAGTCCGTAAAGGGTTCCCAGAATTTTATAGAAACGTCTTATTTTAACCTTGGTCGAACAAGCCAACTTTGTACTCCTTCCTTTTGCTTCTAGTAATCTTTAATTCATTCTGTCATCTCTGTCTTATAATCTGCAATTTTTTTTATTTTTCTGTATTTCAACAATTTCTTGGTATTCTATATTTTCTTCATCAGATGAGGTTTGTTTCAGCTCTTTATACTGTAGATCTTTCAAGGTATTCTCTTTCATATCTGTCATTTCTTCTTTAACATCTTTTAGACATAGTTTATCCACAGAAGCAGACATCATTGCTGACATTGTTGCTCCTAGTTTCTGTCCCCATTCTTCAAATATCTCCCAGAGTATTTCAAACGTCGTAACATTTTCTGTCATTTTGTGCCAGTGCACCACCTTCCCCCCCCCCTTTTATGCCTGGAATCTTTAGTCCCTTCTAGTGTCCAATTTCTAAAAATCTCAAATTTCTGTTATGACTTAAATAGACTAAACAATTTAGTTCCACGAAACTGCCATTTATTTATATAATTATTCCTAACATTTTATAACAAAAGTCCTAATATTCCAAATTCATCTGGTCCCTTAATTTGTGTATAACTTTCTTGAATTAAAGTCTTATTTATCTTTTTCCCAGTTATTTCAATTTTTAAAAATTCTTAAGCTTATAATTTTTCTTTTATTCTGGAATGAAGGCAAACTCAGCAGGTGATTTTGCAAACTTGCCATTTTGAAGATCTCTAACAGCCTTACGATAGTTAAATAAGTAATTTCCAAAAGTGATTAGAAAGTGAGGTTAGTGAACCCAGTGTCCTTAAAAAGGTTCTGCCGCGGTTGAGTGTGATGGCTTCCCTTTGTCTCCCAGCACTCAAACCCACGGGAAACTGCTATCCTGTGGTCTCCACACGAGGAGCAGCTGTCCAGAGCACAAGTAGACAATCTTCTGTCCTTTACTTATGTGGAGAGGTTCCGTGGGACCCGTCTACTTGCTGGTCCTTCAGTCACAGCCACAACATCATCTCTGCTCGTTTGGAGACGCGCTAGCTTGCCATTCCTCACCCAGAAGTGGCAGGAGGAAGTATAATAAATATTTCAAGAACATAAAATAAATAACTGGTTTGAGAATTTTTGCTTCAACTAACTTATTTATTATGGATAATGTCAACATTATAACAATTGAGGTGTCTGTGGAACAGAGAGCTGAAATACTGTGAAGCATTTTAATAGATGCAGTGAATTCAAATGCACTCAACACAATAAAACACAATCTTTGTAAGCCATCAAATATCAGAATAAAAGGAAGATTTGGCTCTTATCACAATGCCAATACACTAAGTGCTGGACTAAAACTAAGATGGGTGACTCTGGATCATCATTTAGTATGTCACATAATATATTAGGTTATTATAAGGATAAACTGAAAGAAGGGGAGATAATCTTGTGTGTAACAAAAAATGTAATATATACAGTAATATTTCACAGTCGTATTCTTGCAAAGTAAGTGGAGTACAGAAGAAAAGAGAGTTTCAAAGTGAGAAGTCCAGAACACAAATTACTATGGAGAGTTTAAATAGTCAGTGGGCTTTAATCTACCTTTACAACTGCTTTGAAATTGGGAATACACTGAATTATCTTCCACAATAAGGAAACATTTCTACCCAAAAGTAAGAAGCAAGAGATTATTCTTCTCAAATAAGTTTAGCACAGTCACATATTTAACACTTTTATTACAATGATGGATCATGAAGAACATTTACTATATTTGTTAATCCTATCTGTCCTATACTTAGGTGAAATTATAATTCTAAACCATACCTTCAATTCTAGAATCCATGGTCTGAATTCATCACTGTTTTCTATTTCTAGAGGCTCAAGTAACGGTTCCCAAACACCAAACATCTCATTGAAATAATGTACCTAAAATACAAATGAAATGAAATGTAAAACTTAGGTTATATTAGGTTAGTTTGGATGTAATGAAAATGAAGAGCAATAAAAAAGATATTAGTATTATATAAAGAAAGTTCATCCCTTACTATACTATGTAAGTAACAAGCTGGAGGATGAATTTGAAAATGACACAACACCTTATATAATTTTCATTCAATATCTTCAGAATATTCTAAAAGCCCACTAAGGTTTGATCAATCTGGTGAAGCTTTCCAATTAGAATCTACACATAAGCTGGTTTGCATATTTAGATGCTATCTATATTTCAAATTCTAGCATAATATTAAGATCTACATGCATTCTAAAGAGGGAAAGCTATTGTTATAATAGTATTTTAGTGTCTGAGATTTCTCTCTCCCTCTCCCTCTCCCTCTCTCACTCACACACACACACACACAGAGCGATCAAACTTTTTTCCATAGGTCATTTGCATAGCTTTTTGCCTGTTCTAGAACCAGCAGAAGACTAAACTAGCATAACATTTGCTATCTACATTGCTGATGTCTTCTTGCCTCTACAGCCTCTTTTTTGGCTTGTCACCAGACAGTGGTGCCTTGATTTTGGACATTTGTATCATGGCAAGACAGAAGTTGAGAAAGACACTAAAGATATGCATCGATGTAAAGATAGCCTAATGGATACTATGCTTTGTTTAATGTAGATTATTCAACAGCTATCTGGTGCAGAACTTCTTGATGGATTTAAAATGGTGAGAGGAAATATTAAACAATGCTTACATCCCACATACAGAAACAGCCTACAAGGTGAAGCATTTTTTAAACATTTACACTGTTTCTTCAAATAACAAAAGTGTACTGACCTCTAGTTCAAGACGTGATGAAAGATTGATTAGACTACTCCAGTTTTTGACTTCTCCAGAAAATGAGGATTTTGCTAAAAGCATTGGTACTGTTTTATGACCAACTCCAGCTTCAAGAGTTATAACAACACTTTCAATTTTCATTGTTAATGACTCTCCTGTAGGAACCAACTCAATTACAGAAGCAGGATCTTTATTTTCAACTGACTCTTCAAGAAACCACATATTTAGATTTTTAATATTCTTCTTATCCCAAAGGTCTGGCTGTACTGGGCTAATATCTTTCTCTGCAGCCTCTTGAGTTGGGAAAAGCGCTGATGTAATAGTTATAACTGTATTTATGATAATAGGTGACACCTAATTTTTAAAAAAGGAAAAGTATGGATTTTAACAAATTAGAGAATCAAGAAATTACTAAAATACTAGATATAAAAGGAAAGATATTTATGTCTGAAATAAACAGGAGTCTAAGGAATTATACAACATTTATTTAATAACTGAGTTAGTTTATACAAAAAGAATCTACTTCAGTTTTCCCATAGATCATAAAATTAAAAGTATCGCCATATTTTCTGAGATTAATATATATGCATAAATGTTTAAAGTACCTTAATAGTAAGGGATTTTATTGATAGCTCAGCTTTCTGTGGATCTTCACCTGACTGCATCATATTAAAGAAAAGATCACATGGTTGTAATACCTGGAACCACATAAAAAAATAATTGAATATAAATATTTGTCTGTTAAATTAATGTAAATCACCTAAGCAAAATGGTAATACATGGTACAAATAAAGGAAACAAAATATTTCAGAAACTGATTTCTCTACAATCATTTGGTAGGAAGCAAGTAAGCTTCCATGAAATAGCAACCTGGTGCTATATGCACAAATTTTCAGTTACACAGCTGCCTCCAGGAACAACAAAAAATTGTACACATAGTTCCTAATGTCACACTATGAACTGTGTATGCAGTACCAAAGTCATGGTTAGTGATATGGATGTAGATCAAGAGCAGATAAAATCTATTTCCATTAACACTGATAAATGCGAATAGCAACTTGTAATTATTGATTGTTGTTCCATCAAGCCAGGAGCTTGCTCTATTTAATTTCCTCTCAGTCATGAGATTGGGGTTTTAATTATTGTTAATGTTTCATACACAACCCCTGCTTCCAGAGGAATATTTTTAGATGCTATTTTTCACTGACTATATGTATGATAATAAACCCAATTACTAATTGGAAAGTCTAATTGGCAAAATGGAGCAGCCAATAAGCCAAGCAAACAAATCAATCTCTCTTTCTCCTTCCCTCCTTCCTTCCTTCCCTCCTTCTTTTCCATCCGAGAGCCATCTTAATTACAAGAGAGAATTGCACATCCCCATTTGAATATTGTGTACAGATACTGCTACTTATATATAGCTACTCTAAGTGCACCGTTTTCACATAAAGTTGCACAGCACTATGGTAGATTTCAGTTTTAGAAAAATCTTACCGTGGTGATATTGCCTTTCCTCAGAGTTGGAAAAAATGGGCAAGCTTTCACATTTATATCTTCAACAACAGCTGTCATTTTATACATTTCGGGAGTATTTTTTATGGAGATTTCACACTGTGCTGTGACCACCAACGCAGAAGCATCACTTCGTGTTAAATCAGCCACAAACACAATCTCAGGATTTTTAATGGTAAGATTTATTTCCATTGTGGATGCTGACTGTACAGGAGCTAAAAATGTAATGCATATATTCAGTAAGATTTTAAATATATCTTTTTACTTTCTAGTGTTATCGATCTCACCTGTTCTTGCTTTTAATTAAAAATGTTGAAAATATTCACAGTAAACAATTGATACCAGATTATGTAAAATACAGGGAAAACAGAAATCAGGTCCTGGAAAGACTTAAAATTGAAATCAGAACTGAAATGAACTTTGGCAATTAATATAAATGAACTGGTCTAAGTTATCTAATTATCTCGAGTAGTCTTATCTTCTTGCCTTCATTACATGGTTCCACTTTAATATTATTTGATAGAAATGACAAGTCTGTTTTTCATGGAAAACATGTGTGTCAGCTATGATGTCCTCCTTTATAAAATTGACTTAAGAACGCATTAGCCATTTTTAGAAATTTATAAGATTAGTAAAGACCTCTTTTCCAATGTGTCCTTGAGACTGAAAGTCCTAATGATTTTACCTACTTTTACCTAAATTTTAATTCTTGTATATGATTTTGTGGAACTGACTTAAGAACTTCTAGGCATTAAAATACAATACAACTAACAGAATTAGAGCTATTAACAGAATTTAAAATGTTTTTGATCACCAAGAAAAAAAATCCCCTTGCCTGTGAATGAAATAGTTCTGATGCCAGAAATATTCTTTTTATCTTTAGATCTATGTTTGTATATGTTAGAGTAGACATATCCACCTGTGTGAGAAATGCTGTTCTTAAAGATTCATTGTCTGTTGTCCTATCACCAGTAATTTTTATAGCTATTTCTATAAAATAATTGTAGCGTTTGGAAATCCTGCTGTCTATAAAGGACAGCTTTATAGTCTGTAGTATGTTTTTTCATTCATTTTGATGACAGTTAATCAATTTTAATACTGCAGCCTTAGCAAAAATAAATAATGTTTATAATGTTTGGAATAAAAATGTTCACAGTAGATTTCTTGCATCTCTCTTCGTTTTACTGTTCTGGATTCAGAACACTTCTACTTCTGCAATTTCAAGCCATTTTGTATCACTCTGCCATTTTTTTTAAATAGTAGCCTGTGCTTTTCTCTTTTTATTCTTCTTTTTTTCTCTTGCAGTTTAATAACCAATGAATTCCATTTAAAATATTACATTACTGATAAACACTTATTTCACAGGCTTTATAACTGTCTCTTTTAATTACCTGACAGGAATTTCAGATAGCCTCCTAAAAAACAAGGGAGACTTACACAAGGAATCATATACAGTGGGGCAAAAAAGTATTTAGTCCGTCACCAATTGTCCAAGTTCTCCCACTTAAAAAGATGAGAGAGGCCTGTAATTTTCATCATAG